TTTTCACCTTTTGGACATTCATAACGCTATTTTGCTAAGTGCAGAAATTAGGTACAAGTACTTTTCTATCAAAAGGGAAAATAAAAGATACGTTTTCCTCCAAACATGCTTCATATTTGTTCAAACCAGACATGCGCGGATCATTTCACGATAGTTCCAAGCGTAGTCAGTCGTGACATGTGTGCGGGATGTTACACCGTTGCACCAAAAGCCATTTTTGTCTAGCGTGCCATTCGGTGACAAGACTTATCAGTTGAACGCATTTTTGTCATAAGAATGCTCAAAAGTGAAGGGATAGGGGCTTACCCTGCTGCGAGCAAAATTGAGCATCAATTCCATTGCGCTTAAATGCAAATAAGTCAGTAAAAATATAGTCACGTAAAAAATAGGGACACCCAGTTTCTAATGTCCACACGGGTTGATAATACAGAGTCAGTAATAGTCACAGGGATTAATGAGAGGGGAGGGGGGGGGGGGGGGGTTGCAAGCTGGGCAGCCTGGCAACACTACTGCAAAGGATAGACCAATATTTAATGCTTTGTATTTTTTTGATGAACTGAAATGAGAGTATATATGAGTGTTTCTCCATTTACAACGGATCGTCAATAAGCTGATTTTCCAGCCCACTTCTCCCGCCGCGAAAATAAAAAGCAACGAAGACAATGGGCTGCCGTTCGGCGGGGCACAAACAAAAGGTGGTCGCATGTGCACGATGCGGAAGAACCACCAACTAAAAAAGTCACATGGCCTCTTGCCAAATGTCACTAAAGCAAAGAAAGACCCAGCATTCCTGGCAAGGTTAAGGAGAAGGTATAGCTGTTTTACGAGTCGGACCAGGTCAGCCGGATGTTAAGGACGACTGCGTTACGGTCTGACAGCTCAATGGAGCCAAAAGAAGAGTGCTCAGGGAATTTGCGACAAGTGTATGACATTTGCAAGCGGGAATCAAACAACCCTTCTATCGGTTTCCCCAAATGTGTTGCACTTCGTCCGAGGCACTGCGTCTTGGCCGGCAGCAGTGGCACGCACTCGGCATGCGTATACACACATCATCAAAATCCAATGCTGCTCATATCCGCTTCCAGCCTTCCTGACTTGAAATACTCTGACCCCTTGTTCACGCTGCATTTGATACGGAAACTTCGACCGCATGATGGTGTGTGTGTGTGTGTGGTGTGAGTGTGTGGTGTGTGTGTGTGTGTGTGTGTGTGTGTGTGTGTGTGTGTGTGAGAGAGAGAGAGAGAGAGAGAGAGAGAGAGAGAGAGAGAGAGAGAGAGAGAGAGAGAGAGAGAGGAGAGAGAGAGAGAGAGAGAGAGAGAGAGAGAGAGAGAGAGAAGAGAGAGAGAGAGAGAGAGAGAGAGAGAGAGAGAAGAGAGTGGAGAGAGAGAGAGAAGAGAGAGAGAGAGAGAGAGAGAGAGATAGAGAGGAGAGAGAGAGAGAGAGAGAGAGAGAGAGAGAGAGAGAGAGAGAGAGAGGGAGAGCCTTGCCCTGGTAAGGAATGCGTAATGAACATTTAAGTTATATCCTCTCGGACAAGTCAGAGGATAGCGACGAGCGTGGTACATCATGTGATGATATGTATGGGGAGATTAGGTAGAAACTGTGAGTAAGTACGGATCGCTGTGCGCTAGTGCCAATCACCGGAAGAAAGGAAGGAAGTATGATATCTCTTAGCTACCAAATCACAAAGTTGGCCAGACATCACTTTTTAGCTGAAAGTCAAGGTCAGTACTTTGCCCACGCAAGGGCTACTGCCCGCGAGGACCAAGTGGTTGCCCAGGGTGACCTCTCTGAATGCTGTTCATTCGTAGTGCACGACGCGGCCCAAGGCTTCCACTGGCACTCCGCTCAGTGCGCTGTGAACCCATTCGTAGCATGCTGGCGGAAGTAAGATGTGCTGTGCCATCAGAGCTACTGTCTCATCTCTGGTGGTACATAACTTAACACCGCCATAGTTCATGAGTTTTTGACATTACTCTCCTATACCTTCGTACCTGAGTGCCCAATCTAATAAATGTGTATTTCAAAGACGGCAGTGCCGCACAGTAGAGAAATCGGCACAGCTTCATCAACTCGTGCTACCATGAGGTTGCCCTGAGAGGGGTATTTTTTGTCACGTTACATGGTAAAGGGGTCTGTGACGGCATCGCAGGCATGGCTAGGCTTGCCGCAGCACAATAGGGCCTCAGGCTTATCAAAGATGGGTAAATACTGAGGTGGAGGACGTGTTCAAATTTCCTTTTAAAAAATGGGCAGCAAAACCAAGCTTGTCTATGTGTAGCGAACCACCATACGGAGAGCTTTTCAAAAGTTATTACGGTGGAGGCACTCGGGGCGTCTCAAAGTTCTCACCAGTGACGCCGACGATTCCGAGGGCTCACCATACGTCCACTGACGTGGGGTGCGTGGTAGCAGCGGGGCGGTAATCATTATGTGACTGTCAGGGCGCTGAGACCAAATATGTAAGTGGAAGGGTCAATATATGACATAAGTTGGCTTGCAGGCGAGCGGGTGATATCATTGCTGTGTTAAGTCGTTGCGTTGTATGTGGCAAACTACTCATGATCATATGTGATTCGCTGCGTGTGCAGATCACGTGCCAATGGATGCAGCCGTGTGTGATGATTAGCAAATTTCAATATATACATATATATATATATATATATATATATATATATATATATATATATATATATTGAAGATAATATGGTGCGTGTATTTGTGTTATATATTTCACGTTAATGAATTGCATAAACTTATGTTTTGTTAGCGAATTCTACGGCATTCGAGCTCGCTTTTTGGATCAGCAGTCAAATCCAAATGAAATGGGTCCTATATGCCAAGTTTGTAAAGAAAATGGCAACTTTCGGAAGAAAAGCGTATCTTCTTGAACTTGATCTTGTTAGAGAAGTCAAGAAAGAGAGAAAACTCAGTCAAAAAGTCACGTAAGAGTCAGAAGTCCCTGTAAATTTCTGCGTTTCAAAACATCGCATTGTGAATGCCAGAATGTACGAGGCTACAGCACCTCAGCTCTTACTCTAATCCTTCTAAAATGGTAGAGCTGAACTCGGGATATAAGGCAATCCTATTCTGATACTTTCAGCCATCTAAAAAATATGGGGTGTTTTTTCTGCCCCGCACCTGTCAATTTACCATGGAATGGGCCGATGACCTTCCCAGAGAGGGCTCGAAGGGTTTCGCGTCCATCCACTACTCCGGCATGGTCGCACGGGTCATGTTGGCCCCGCCTTGAGCATTTGCCAGCAGATCTTCCTTCGGCATTCTGTCAAATCCCAAACAAGACCAAACGGGTCAAGTAGATCGCATTTAGAGAAGTGCTAGTAGACGTGTTTTCCACAGCTTGGTTAACTCGTCGCGCGCGCCCCAGGGATTATAAACGGCACCAACACATCGCATGTCCAGCTCACTTCCACTTCGCCATGGAAGCAGAACAGATCTCGCGCGTAAAAATGATCGCGATGCATTGATGTTCCTGCGCCCAGATTCGAATCAGATCCACACATTTAACCCGGTCGAGCAGCGCAGAGCTATTTAATGTGTACCTAATCCATACAGAGCCCAGCCCGCAACGAATTTCCAATCGCTGAGCCGGGAAACTGCGTCCACTAGCGTCCTCTGCAAATAATCCTTGCATGGGCTGCGTTATTTGATGCTAGTTTGTACATATTAGGAGTGGTGTCCCGCAAATTAATTGGCAGTTTTGAACAGTGCAAAATGCGTAGCCCATCCGCAAAACACGGCAACAAATGGTGTCTGCACGGATTTTACCCAAATTCGTCTTAAAGTCAAGGGATGGAGCCATCCCTCGCCAACTAAATGGAAAACTACACCGCTGGTACATAGTTGTTGTCTGAGACGCATGCCACTGCTTGAATACATCCACCTGGAGTTAGAATTCACAAAAATTTCGGAGTTCCACACTGAAATGGGAATGTTTTAGCTGATCATGAAGCTGAACAAAATAGGTTGTAGCAAAAACGATGTTAGCTGTTAGCATGCCAACTGACTAATAGGTTCATTAGGAAATCATGCAATTGAAAGAAATAGCACTGAACATACCTTGACAGGCAGAACAAGAATGAATGTGTGATTACAAAGTTAAAATTGAACATAACCAAAACAAAATATTATCTCCGCTGTTGCGCGATTTTTCAGGATTGGCCCTATATCTGCTCCACTGCTCTGGATGTCACCAGAACGTAGCATGGATGGGCGTGTCGCGTGTGTTGTTCGTTTTTGCTGGTGTGTCTGCGGGTCCTGCTATCATCCGCAGCAACTGTTCCAGGGGTCTGCTTGTGTGGACGCGTTTGTCTATATGCGCAAACTTTAATGCATCAGCGCGTTGAGAATTACTCAGCAGCGCAGAGGCAGCGCGTTCAGAGGGAAATAAAGTGTGCCGTTTTCCTATGGGCTGGTTTCGGCCGGCAGGATCATGTCACTCTAGTCCTGCCAAAGGTCAGATGACCTCGTGCCTGTGCGCCGCACGCGTGCTTCAGAGCTGACGGTCATCTGTGGCTATCAGTATACGAGTTCTGCCGCTTCCTCCGAGGTTGATGATGATGGCCGTTCATCAAAAGACAGTGTCAGTAACGTATATTTCTGCAATAATGGGCAAGATACACTACCTATTTAACATAAACACGGTATTATTTTCTCGCACACGTAGATGCTTTAATGGTGCTGTCCATTGGCAGGGTGGTACGTGGGAAAACTGGCCTCAACATGTGTCGCTATTGATTTGATCGACGCAAGGATCACGTGGACGTTAAGACCATCGCTCAAACTCCAATTGGCTGCGAGAGATGCCCCATCAGGTAAAACATGGGTGCCGGATGACGGCTTCTATTGAGATTATGTGGAGCGCAGCAAAGTGAACGGTGCACACCCTACAACCCTGTCCAACAGCTACCAGTATGTGGTTCCGGCATAGTAAAAACGATAAGGCCGTCCCCGTGCGTGCGTGAACAACAAGTGCAATTTCAGCCGATGGCGGAGAAGCGACAGACCAGGAGCCCTTGAGAATCAGCGGGATCAGCTGAGGCTAAGGCGGTCCCACCACGGTTTAGACCATCTTCGGCCTCTCCAGCTAACTCTACAGCGTTCTTTGGTCGGCTTACGGGCCTACAGCGGCCCGGGCTGCCGGAGTCAGCTGATCCCACATGACCACCGGATCCGGTCCGCCGAGGATGGCTGGGGGACGCCCCAGCTGGCACCGACAGCTCCACACGGAACCGCCCGGGCACAGGAGGGCACATCAGATGGTGGTCGAGGTTTGCAGATGGAGCGTTTATTCGACGGAGCGTCGCCGGCGGCCGGGTCCGCCAGGGAAGGCCGCAGCCGCCAGACCCATCTTGTGCTTGGCTGCCTGCGCGGCCGAGAAGCCGCGGCCCAGGCCGAAGTCCAGCCCGCGCTTGCTGTGGGGAAGGACGCAGGCCAGAATTTCAAGGCTGCCCCCTCGATACGCTATATATGGGGCGTGCGTTGGTTGTTTAGCACATTTCGAGACCATAGGTGTATTTTGGATTTCTCTGGATTTGGCCGCAGAAAAAAGTGTGACTTCTTACTTGTAAGGTTAACACATAAGTAACGTGTAAAGTTCACATATTTGTGGTGCCCAACGCGACAGGACACGTGACGATGGTAAAAAATAGGTATGTTTTTGAGACTCTAACATGCTGCCTAATCTGTCACCTTTTTAGGCCAATTCCATTGGCCAATTCCAATGGTCATAAAAAGGGTATAAAGCGTAGAGCATTGGTCACCTGCGACACCATTTATCATGTCCAATTATAACAGAGATAAGTGGTTCACAGAAAATGAGTAATTAAATGACCGCATTTCGTATTTCGCCGGGTAGGTTTGGAAGTCCAGGTGGACTAAATGTCAACGCTTTCCGTAGCGGTATCTTTTCTTGGCCAGACCGCGATGCTCGAACAGCCAGGCGGCAGGCAGCGACATCTATTGGAGCCCTGGTGACCTATTCGCGGTAGGCATGGCCGGCGCCCTGTGCAGGCGGAAGAACGGCACGTGCTTTCGGAAGAATCTGTTTAGTTCTTACTGGGCCAGGCCGATCTCCTCGGCGTCGTTGAGCGCGCGCAGCCGATTAACCAGCTTGCTGACGTAGAGGTCGTTCTGCATGTTCTCCACGTCGTCCGCCCATGATTTTCTGTACAGTGAAAATTAGCGTCAAACGAGCACTCTGCACAATCATCAAATGATGATAATTTGGCGATTTGCAACCTGATATTCGTCCACGCGCATCATCATCGATTTTGGATGGCTTTACGCTAATAGTTCAAATATTTGGAAACTTTTTCTGCTTCTCATGGTAAAACAAAACAAATTATGTCTATTATGGAAAGCCTGGGATGACTCTAACTGTCCTGTTTGTACTCTGTGGAGCACTTTATATCAATTACGGAAAATACGTTAAACGAGTAAACTGAAGCATGCCCGTCCTATGACAACCACGGCGCCACACATGATGAGATGTTGCCATGCCATGATGCTGGATAACGAGACATAAATCACCAACTCATTGACATGTTTGATCATTGCACATACATCTTCGATTAATATTTAATTCTGCATTGCAGAACTCCACAAAAAGCTCCATTCGTAATATGGAACCTTTCTCACACCACTCAATCCCGATCAGCTGAGGGAAGGTTTTTTTGTAGAGGGAGTACAGTCAGGACTAAATACGAATACCATAGACTGTCTGCCACCGACCATCTAATATGATATACAGTGTTTGAGCTTGCGGGTGGGAAGCATGGAACCCCGTCTCCTTTTAGCTGTGCATTTCGTCCGCATTATTTTTCATCGCGCCTTTGCTATCCCCCAACCCAGTGAGGGTGGTTCATGTGTGTTTAATTTAGCATGAAGCTAAATTTTCTACTTGCGACAAAACTGATCGTATGCGAGGACAGTGCAAGTTTTCTATTGCGACAATGATGTTGCGTATCAGTGAATGCATTACCCGCAGCTCTTAAATGTAGGCCATCATGAGACAGGCCAAGTGAGAGCTGTAGGACCAGACACCGACTTTTAGTTGTGTTTGGATGAGCAGCAACACAACACTGTGGTTTTGAACCAACGAGCTATTACTGGCAAGAACACAACCATTTGCTCCGTGGATGAAGTTGTCTTTAATTCCACGGATATGCTGTTGGACTTAAACATATCATTTGTAAAGCTGTACCACCCTGAACAAATACATTGAACTGAGCCCTGAGAGGATCATGCCGATATCAGAACAGCTCTTTTCCTTCCAAAATAAATCATAAACTCCGAGCTCTCCCAGCTTCTTCTCATTCATCACACGCGCACGGAGATGCTTACCTCTCAGCGTTCTCCATGTGCGTGCTCGCGTTGCTGAAGGACCAGCAAAAGACGAAGCAGACGATGGCAGCTAGCCAGGTGCAGGCGCTGATAGCGGATGCGTGACGAGTCATGAGCCTGAAACGAGGGCTGGTCTGGGTGAGACAAGGATCATGGCTCAGGGTCAGGCAAAGGTCGGGCCAGTGTCAGACCAAGCCAAGGTCAGGCCAAAGTCGGGCCATGATATGGTTGAGTGAGTGTCCGATGGCGAAACATGTCATGTTGGACAGCTATATTTTACGTGCCGTGCGCTGTGTCCGAAGCATACAGCAGAATAATTTCCAGGGTTATGTTGTGACTGGATATGTGTATTTTGATAGAACGAATCAGCTTTCAGGCCACCACGTTGAAGTAAGATTGTCCCTTTGTATGCTTTTTTGTATTTTTTGTATGATTTGTACATCATTCTATGATTTGTATACCATTGTATGAGGGTTAGTGAAGCCTTAGCCAACACTGCACCGGCCAAGTCTGCACCGAAGCTGCACCAGCAACCAGCCGGTGGAAGCTGGACTAGTAGGCTGTACCGCAGTACATCAGGCCGTCCCCGGCCGGATGTGAGCGTTCAGTGACCGGCACGTGGGCAACCGTCGTCAGTCTGGGGCAGGCTGGTGGTCACTGAGCCGGGCTGCACTGAACGGAGCTCTGTGTGGGCCTGGTTAAGACCGTCTGGTCACTCAGCAGCAGTCACTCACAGCATTGGCTCGGGACAGGTCGGGGTGACCTTGGTTTGTCTACTGTTTGCAGGACAGGCACTCGATCATGGCCTCCGGATGAAAGGCTCGATCGCAAACCGTGGAAGCTAGGCAACCCACCAGACCAGACCAAAAAGTCTCGATTGCTTCCAGGTTGATATCTGGCCATAGGTTGGTTGACTGATTCGTTCTTAGCTTTCCACTGTCTGAACAGTGTCCAGAAACGTTATTTTATGCAGACGTTTTATCTGTGCAAAATCGCTACTAAAGGCTCCAAACCTCAGTCTTGTGAAAATAAACTGAAAGCTGCTGCCAGTGCATGACATTCCAGTTAAAGACTCATGGTGCCCAGCACATCGTTAGAAAGCTTAAATTGCAGTTTAAGCTATTTGTGAAATGCACTATATCAAATTCAGCTACGTAATAATGTGACATGTAACAGAACAACGTATTCTCAACGAAATTTCTCCAAGCGAGATTTAACTACAGTTCACCACGACACATAAGTGATCATTTGGACAACAGCAGCAACGTTAGAGTCCGCTAAAAACATGGACGGTACCCAGAAAAATACAATGGACGACTTTGATGTTACTTTTTCTCACGAAAATTACTGTCACCTGAAAGTGGCAGCGAAAGCTTGATCGCTATTGAGTTGCCCAATAATGAAAGTTATCAATAATTCACCAATAGGTTACTGACAACTAGCATTGTACACGTTACAAGATGGAAAATGCCCCCTTAGCCTTATGTGTTATAACAAGCATGTCCGCTCACTTACGTCCTTATATGCACGCACCCTCCACTGTTAAGTACTTGAAATTTACCTTGAAACGTCCCCATAACAGCGCTGATGGTCAACAACGTGAGACTCACTCGGTGCTTGTCCCGGGAGGAGATCGCCTCGTGGTCGCCGCTGTGCTGCTCCACCGCCGACTGCGATGCTGGTGCCGCCTCTCCGGCACCTTATATTCAATTCCCCACGAGACAGCGGCGACCAATGGACCAATGGGGCGAGGCCGCGCCCTCAGCCAATCAGAACAGCCCTCGGCCCACGCGAAACCGGACCCGTTCACTAGCCGCGTGGTTTCCAAAAAGCTGTCGATGAAATTAAAGGAAATGCTCCACATTTTAAAATGTTGACATAAGCATCATGTATAGTGAAACAACCTATCTCATAATGGCTGGAATACCTTTTAAGTGGAAAAGACTGCTCTAGACAGCACAATTTTCTGTTAGTGAACATGCTCCTTAAAGTGTCATGGCTTGGATACGTCATCCTGCCTTGCACAACATTGATTAAGAGCCAATTGACGGCCGTTATGTCCGGAAATCGCGCTCACGAACGTGGGATATGAGCGCCTCGACAATTATTGGGATTTCTTTTTTCAAAACAATGACAATGACAATGTTTTTCTCGGCCATAATTGTCACATGGTGTATGGAATGGTGGGATTTAAACAACGTTATCATGACGTTTTGATTGCCTGGGTGTTTTTGAAATGCTACACCCGACATGCCTTCCCGATTTTGGCGGGCGTGTAGGTCGGAAACTAGAGGGGCTTAGGCCTTAAACAAAATATGATCGTGAACAGCACCAAAAGGCCTTTAATATGCCTGGTCCAGTCCAAAACCCCATGTAATTGTAGAACACCCTCTAGGCTCAACCAAAAAGTTTTACCAGAGGTCTACCAAAACGTTGGCCTTTAGGTAGATGCGTGGAACAAAGCGACTTAGCCCTGCTTTTGATACGCTTATTGCAATCGCCTCTTGCAGGGGCCTCCTCTTAATGCAGCAGCAATGCTGCAAAGGTCGGCCTGGCAGGGTTATATGTGAGAGGATGACAAATTAGTACTATTTGAATTGCGAGAGCAGGTTGAGTCCCCGTGTTACGGTCAACGACCAAACCCAAAAGTGGCAACATTCAGTTGCATGGGATCTGACGCGAATGACAATAATCTCAATGGAATTAAAATGTTAAGTCCGTGCTAAGAAGCCTAATCCTATACCTTGTTCTGTGACCCCAGTTCTCTTCATCCCCCATGGCTTCTAACGTACAGCCTAGCACCATGCCAACTGTGTACATCACGCGCGGGCCATGTGTTGCGAACATGCTAGCGCTGTAGCGGAAGGCATGGCTGAGGACCAAAGAAACCATGCACGTTTAAAAAATAACGATATTGATCTGGCTTGGTCGAGAGCCAGCTTGCTTGCTGTTATGTTCTCAGTCCGTGCTCTGTCGGTACACGGCTTGGCGGAGCGTCCAGACACGGCGGATCCGGGCTTAGAACTGTATCTCTTCAAATCAGGCAGGGGGCAGCACTAGCGCCGCCACGTGGCCCTTCAGAACATTACACCTCCCCTCTGGGATCACAGGGTGCATTGTTGCCAAAAAACGCAAAACAAAACAACGCACTCCGCAAAAGAAAACGACACGCACAATTGCATCACATCTCCCCTCCCCGGGGCCGCAAAATGCATCCCATAACATCACCTTCAGTGCGACGATCACTCTTGGTAAGTACATGTACCCCACCGCACTTGCAGCCCCTCTGGCCTCCGCCTGTTGCGCTCTCCTCGGCGCAACGGTGCGGTTGCGGTCTGCGGTGATGGGCGTGCCGAGTGTGAGCGAGCCTCGCTGTTCGCTGCAGGTCCTGGTGACGCCTGCACAGCTACAGGTGACGTCTGCTCCCCTCCATGTGATGATGCTGTAGTCTCAGGCAGCGATAGGGCCGCCTCAGATGACGTCCGAGTTGTTTCAGGTGACGTCTGCGGCGCTCCAGGCTGCTCTGTTGCAGCTTCAGGCGGCGCCCGCTCCACATCCAGGGACGCTGGCGCATCAGACGTCGGGTGCGCCACTGCCACAGCGACGGAACTCGTTGGTTCACACGCTAGTGTAGCCGCTGGCGATTTGATGCCCTCCGAGATCAGTGGACGTAACGGACGCAGGAAGCGCCTGTTCCGTCAGTATACGCGTCCAGATGGTGCGCGGATCAGGAAGCTGCGGCGCTGCTGGCTGACTCCGCTGATGACACCGGTGCTGTCCCAGAGGCCGATGCGGGGGTCTTGGAGCAGCACGTGTTGACCCAGCTGTAGAGGGCGATGTGAACGTTCTGAAGCGTCGTAGTAGTCAGCCTCTCTGCGACGTCGTTCCGCTGCGCGCCGGTCGCATACATCAGCACGCTCTTGCCAGCACTTGGCGAAGGAGCTGTGGTGAGCTGGGATCATCGACCTCAGCGGATGGCCGAGGAGCACTTGAGCTGGCGATCGTCCGTCCGCTCTCGGAGAGTTTCGAAGTTCCAGCAGCCCCTCCGCGAATGCGTCCGTATCGAGGCCACCGCTGGCAGTCACCTTCTTGAGGAGCCTCTTGACGGCTTTCACTGTTGCTTCCGCGTGCCCATTCGCCTGAGGGTAATGCGGCGAGGACAGCTGGTGCTCGACACCCCACTTGGCCAGGAAGTCTCTGGTCTTCTTGGCCGCAAACTGGGGTCTTTCGTCGCTCAGGAGCACACTGGGCACTCCAGTCGACGCGAATACCTGCCGAAGACTGGTTGTCAGCTGATGTGCTGATGCCGTCCGGCCCATGTGAGAGACCCAGGGCCATCCCGACAGCCTGTCGGCGTACACCAGGTACGGACGCCCACCATATTCAAAGAAATCCACCGAGACGACTTCAAAGACTCTTGCTGGCAGACACATCTGGATGATCGGCTCCTTCTGTTGCTTCGGGAGATGAAGCCGACACTCTTGACAGGCCTTCACTACGTTGGAGATGTCGTGGTCGATACCTGGCCAGTAGACCACCTGTCTCGCTCTTCTTTTTGTTCTTTCTTCCCCTGATGGCTGGCATGCAGCTTCTCCAGAACGTCCCGTCGCAGGCTGCTGGGGACGACGATCCGCTGTCCGCAGATGACCAGGTCACCGTCTACCGCCAGTCGATCCCGCATGTTGCAGTATGGTCGAACTTGTGGGTCTGCTTCGGACTTGTGGTCAGGGAAGCCAGACAGCACGGCTTCTTTGAGGGCCAAGATCTCAGGATCGCGCTCTGAAGCCGCTTGCACCGCCGACAGCGCCGTGTCCTCGAACGGTGATGCAGCTGTCCCATCTCCGTCGGTGCTGGTCACAGCATGGATCGCCATGCTGGAGAGCTGGCAGGAGATCTCCTTTCCGGTGGTCTCGTCATCTCCAGTGGGCTTCTCGACCGGGTGCCTCAACAGGGCGTCGGGAATGGCGTGCAGCTTCCCCTGCCTCCATACTGCCACGCAGTTGTAGGGCGCCAGGCACTCCCGCAGGCGACGGAGACGAGGATTGGCAACATCCTGTAGACTCTCCCCGTTCAGAATGGGGTTGAGTGGCCGGTGATCGGTAGCGACTTCAAACTTCTGCATCCCTTGCAGGTAGATGGCACACTTCCTCATGGCCCAGACAATGGCCAACATCTCGACTTCGATTACGGCGTACCTTGTTTCCGTGTCTGTCAGGAAGCGTGATCCACACTGGATCAGGCGCCAGTTTCCTGCTTTATCTTGCTGCCTGAGACAAAAACCGAGGCCCTTCAGGCGTGCTGCGTCTGTCTCAAGGACCGTCCTCCTATTCGGGTCGAAGAAACCCAGAACCGGCGGCTTTACCAGCACCGTCTTGACCTCGTTGAAGGCCTTGGTGTGCTCTTCCGTCCACAGCCATGCGTTCCGTGGACGGAGGAGCTGACGCAGCGGCTCTGCGGCGCGCGCTTCGTCTGGAGAGAACGCTCCCATCTGATGGACCAGGCCGAGGAAGGACCTGAGATCCGTCAGACACTCCGGCTGTGGGAAATTGGAGACCGCCGCCGTCTTCTTACTGTCCGGCGTGTAGCCACTGGTTCCGACTGTGAAGCCACAGAAGTCGACTGTTTCCGCCGCTAAGACACACTTCTTCGTGTTGAGAGTGATTCCGTTGTCTTCACAGCGGGCGAGGATGTTCCAGACGTGCCGCAGATGGCCGTTGTAGTCGGAGTCCCATGCGATGACGTCATCGACGATCTTGCAAGTCCGTGGCACGTCTCCCAGGGCTTGGTCGCCTCTCTGGCTGCAGACGTCACCAGAGGAGACCAGTCCCATGGCCGCCCTCCGGAACCGGAGCCGTCCCCACGGCGTTATGAAGGTGGTGAGGTCCTCGTCCTCCTCTCTGATGGGGATCTGATGATAGCCGGCCTTTGCGTCGAGCTTGGTGAAGAATCTGGCCTCTGTGCCGATGGATGCCACCGCGTCGTGCGTGCTTCTCACGGGATGCACGGGTCTCTTTACGAACTTGTTCAGCCTGGTGAAGTCGACAGTCAGGCGACATCCAGACACCGCTCCGTTCTCTGACGTCTTGGGCACTGGCACCAGAGGATGGCACTAGAGCGTCGGATGACCCACTGGCTCGATGACTTCCTTCCGTATCATGTCGTCAAGCTGCTCCCGTACCTCATCACGCCAACAGAACGGGATGGCGCGAGGGGCGTGGGTCGCGAGCGGGACGGCATCTTCCGTGAGCTCGATCTTCATTGTTCCGCCAGCCATCTCCCGCAGGGGACCTGAAGCATCAAACACCCGCGGGAAGGCGGCCTTCATTTGGCTGAAGTGCTCCTGTCTGTCGTGGAGCGGCGGTACTCCGCGAGATGCCGCTCCCACCGTCTTGGGATTCCACCGCGGCGGCATCTTCTGCGTCGTTGTCTTCACACATCGGCTATCTCGTGTTGAAGATCTATGGTCGTCATCGGCCTCCTCCCGGTCGACATCCTCTTCAGCAGCAACTCCAGCAGCATCTCCAACAGCATCTCCAGCAGCTGCAGTCATCGTCATCGCCTTTATCTGCTGAGGGTAGTTCTCGGGAAGAATGCCGAGCTTGATGCTGTCGTGCCACGAGAGCAACGGGCCATTCAGCATCTTCACGACCGCCGCCTCCACGGTGTGTTGAACTCGCCCGAGCTGAAGTGTGAGGCTGCAGGTGCCGAAACACTGCATCTCCCTGCTGTCCGCGCTGAGCAGCCTGGTTGTCGGTGGCGTCAGATTGCTCCGGCTGATGCCGAACCTCTCGGCATACCGCAGCGACACAGCCGACGTCTCAGCTCCGGTGTCGGGCGTCCAGTAGGTCGTGGTCGTTCCGCCTCCGCCCGGTCGATAAAGCTGCAGCTCGACCCGTGGCAAACAGCGCGCCGAGACACCCCGTACACGGGCGTCGGGAACCCGTCTGACGCCCTGGGCCGGCGCTGCCGTCACCTGCTGCACAACCTGGACGGGTGACTGAACGCGTGAACCGCTTCGGCGGTCCTGACGGCGCCGACTGTTGCTCCTGCCGCGCCTCTGTGGTTCAGCATGCTGGCGCCGGCAAACAGCCGTGAAGTGTCCCTGCTCCTGGCAGTGAAAGCATGGGCGCCCAACCGCCGGACACCTCTGCTCATCCCGGTGAGCCGCTCTGCCGCAGCGGGCGCACTTCTCTCCAGACTTCACCGCTGACGACGATCGCTTATCTCGCTGGTATCGAGATGGCTTGGCCAGCGATGACGTCACCGGCTGCCAGATGGCTGACGTGCTGCTGCTGGCGTTCTCAGACGCACGGCAGATGTGGGCTGCCGACTGCAGCGTCAGCTCCGGCATCTCCAGCATCCGGCGCCTGGCGTCCTCATCTCAAACGCCGACCACCAGCCGGTCTCGGAGCCGGTCATCGATGCAGAGCGTGCAGAAGTCTCAGAACGACGCCGTCTCCCCCAGCGCGCAGAGAAACTCGTCGAATGTCTCGCCCTGCTGCTGCACGCGCGTGTTGAAGTCACAACGATCGATGATGATGTTGCGCTGGCGACGTAGATGCTGCTGCATGTCCAGGACGATCTCGTCGATCGCTGCGCCCGTCTACTGATGCAGCCCGAATCTGACAACCCTGACCCAGTCGTCATCCAGCAGCGCGAGCAAAGCAGCCCTCTGCTCCGCTTGGGATAGGTCGTCCAGGACCACGAGTAGACGGTAGCCGTCAAACTTGTTTCTCCACGCCTCAAACTCCTTCAACGAAGCAGACGCAATGAGCCGCGGGGCCGGTGTCGCCGCTGCTGGGAGCCGCGACCGTGACCTCTGGGGATTCTACAGTGGCTCATTTGGATTTTCTAGGCCAATAACGTCAGTAGCATAACCGGATTTTTCGTCATGATTTCCATAGATATATGGGGGACTCCGCACAGATGGAAACCAGGCCCACAATTGTCATTGATGTCGTCCACCCATGTTCACCCAAAATTGTTATTTTTTCTGAGCCATTGAATGAAAAAATGGATAAAACCGCCCTGAGCACGTTTCCTTGCAGCCGTTAAGGAAGCAGCACTGACACTCGACGCTACAGTTTCCATCAGTCACGAGACGTTGGACGAACAGCTAATGCCAAGTGGCGGTCAAAGGGAGAGCAAAAGTGACCATGAATCAGGAGGCAGTGTTTTTCAATGCTTTATGAAATCAATACCTCCGCATGGAACGTGTTCCGAATTTTAGTTTTCATCCGTACAATGGTTAGATTGATATTTGGTACGGGTTAGCACTAACAGCACCATGGACTCGGCGCGAAGGTGGAATATCTATTTTTCGCCTTTCTTTATCTGCCAATGTATTCAGAGCAACAGATTCAAAACTGCGCAGGTGAAAGACATGCCGCAGTCAAGATTTTTAACGACAAAAAGTGATCCCCGTTTAAGCCCTTTGGGCCCCTGATCATCAGAAGAGCCGGTCATAGTTTCAGGGACCCCGATTAGTGCAAGAGTTATTCAGTGACAATTGCGGACCCCGGTCTAGTCCCTGCCTGGACAATGGGCCCATACCGAAATGGAGCCGACTGTTTGGTATGGCTGGTCAACAGAGATGCCCACTATTCCAATGGGCACGAGAGGCCCTCTGGTTGACATCAGAGGGCCGGGAGCTGCGAATCGCAGCCTCTTGACACGCGCCCGGGTGGCAGGCTGGATACCGTTCGCTCAGGTGGGTGGGTGGGGAAGAGGGGGGGGGGGGGGGCAACTTGACCCCGTGAAGCTTAAGGAACTACGAAATCCAGAAACAGCAAACTCACAGGGTGTACTAGCCTGTGCGTGAACTCACTTCGTGCAGAGTTTGAGGTTCCTAGGTCATGACCTTCGGTTTAAACAAGTTCAAACAATGTGAAACTAGGTTGGTCTCTGAAGCATCCCAAAAACCTAGACACCTGTCCTAAGCAAAAGACTGCATGCTCATTAAGGTCATTGACCTTGTTTAGCCTGTCAAAGTTCACGGTGACAAAGATCGTACAAAACCGCTTCGAGTTTTACATTTGAATAAGCGACAAAGACTACGCTGGACTGTTTGTTCCAAAAAAGTTAACCTCGGTCATTCTTGGTCAGTGACGTTTTCTAACCCCTAAGAAGTCCGTGGAATACGTCTGATGCGGTTCATGTGATCAATAAATTAGAAAGCAACACTAGCTCTACCTACTGCCCACAGCAAACCTAAAGTAATAATGCAGGTTGGTTTTGAGCTTCGTCTGACCTTGACACCTGACCCTAGGTCAATGAAATTTGTCTCGTCGTTGCGTTGCCTAAAAATGCATCGCAGAAATGCATGTTTCGTCCAACATCCCGTTGCTTCATTAGTTTAAGCGATTCCCAAAAAATAAACTTCGCTGAATTCATGGCCTGACTTTTACATGTCGTGCGTCAGCGACCTTACAAGATGTAGCTAAATTTTTATACCCAAGAATCCGCTATTCAATTGTCTACAGCGATGCAAAATTTAGCGCGGCTACGCCGCACCTTTAGAAACCATTTCTGAAAAGCTTCGGGGAGGGGTTCATTTGACTCCCACCCGAGCGCTTGTTAATGCGACCGCAAACTGGCACTTTCGGCATTCGGTCAATATCATCGAGCCACTGATCGCGGGTACCGAGGGGCCCATCGCCCTCCGGACCCAATGAATGGATGATGGGGAATGCTCCTGCCCGCTCCCCCGTCCTGCACCAAACAGGTTAAATCTCAGCTAAGGTGGTGGACATAACAAATTTAGACATATATTATTTTTTGCAAAACATGTTGCTTTACACAAAGAGTTTCATGTCTAGCATTGCGCTAATTTCCGAGATCATTTACCATGTTTTATGATAATTGCAACTATACACTTCTCAGCTGGAAACAAATGTGAAGGTGTTGGACACGACAAAGATAGAGCCGCATAGTAACTGATCCGAAAACATGACACTTAACATGATGCGCGTAGCTGCAGAGAATTAAATAATGGATCGTCTGAGATTAAAAATAAGATTCACCTTGAAAGGTTGCGAACCTACAGCAGGTCACGCCATCGCTGTCAGCGAACGACGTTTCTACGGAATCGTTCAATATGATGCAGCGACGGAGTGTTGGACGAAGCCATATATACATAAGGTAGTTTCTTAGGTAATTAGCCAAGTGAAATTACAAACAAAACTAATTCCGTTGACCCAAGTTTTGGTAGTAAGCTCAGAACGAGGTCAAGGCTAACCTGTTTTTATTCTCGAGAGCTTGATTTTGTGGGGTCGTTTCTGGTGCTTGCTTCGAATCTATTGATGACAGGGCCCGCAACAGACATGATCTACGGGCTTATTCAAGATCGGAGTAAGTCACTGACCTAAAAGACCCAGTTCAACACTTCGATTTTAGGGATGTATCACCTAGCGTAATCCCTGACGCTTATTTATCTTGCAATAACTGAGCAATCTTGCAGATATCTTGTTACCTAGACCATATCAAGGAAAAACAAGGTCACTGACCTCATTTAACTTTTGATTAGAGCAGGTGCCTAGGTTCACGGCGGTTGCATGAAGAGATATGGGGCACTTGACACACCAATCTGGAGTTTGACATTGCTTGACCTCATTTGACCCCATAGTTCTCAGGGGTTAAATTGACCCCCCACGCGAGCGCGGGGTTTTCAGCCGGCCTTCCAGGCGAGTGTTAAAGGGAATGTTTCACAGCTGAAGAAGAATGGATCAGAAGAGCTGCACTCGTGACGTGCCCCGCATCCTAAAGGGCTCGTCTTATGTGCGGGATATTTCATGGACCAAGCCTTACCTTTGCTGAAATCCCGCTACGGTGATGATGTTCTTGCCATGTTGTTGAATTTTGACGTTCGTGGTAGTCATTTTCCGACCTTGTAAAGCCCTTTTACCTTAAAACCAACCACCTTACATGTATAAAAGCTGTATCATATTGCAGCTATATTTTTGTCTTGATCCAAGGTATTATCTTGTGAAAAACATGCATACTTTTGTAGACTGGTCTAATGTATAAAGGAGTTGGGATGAATACAAGACATGTAAGGTATCTACGGGATGCTATGCCGTACAAAATCAACATAAAACCTATCGCGACTTCTTCAGGCACCAAGTGTACTAACATTTCACGAAAATGTTTTGCATTTCCTTGGTCCAATATTCCTTTTTTGTCCATATTCACTGGGGGGGGGGGGGGGAGGCGCATTGGGTGGACTCATGTCAGCATCAGTATACAAAGTGACGCCCCTGGTCCTGGGACATGCAAACAACGGGAACAACGGGAAAAGGCCCTGCATAAGGCACGGCGATTCGTGAGACTGTCAGCAGGAAGACGGTACAGCAGTCAGCGTGTTGAAGACATCGTGTGTTGGGCCAGCACTTGAGCGTCATTACTTCCCGGCCGTCGACGTTTTAAAATGGACCAAGCAACCAAACGGATTTTGAGTCGAATTTGACATAGCATTGGCCTCCGTGGTGCTTTTGGTCAGCGTGTTCAGCAGTTAACCGGAAGGTTGGTGGTTCGAGCCCATCTGAGGGCATGCCACGCTGGCCAACTTTGAAGAACTGAAATTGCTGTATTGCTGGACAACGGGGGTCTCATCACCAATCAGTATGGTGACCGTTCGTGCCGAAAATCAACATCACGCCGAACCCCTGACGCACCCGCCGCCAAAATATCTCAAATGAGAGGGATAAGCACCTCAGACCCTTACTGAGTGGAACATCGCTGTGCGCGAGATGCGTGCGGCTATGGCCTCTGGGGTGCGCGCGACGTTTTAACATTTGCTCGGGAGCGAAGTCAATTTGACCCGGAAAGGTTTCACCAAAAGGATTTCCAAACGGCGCGACATAGCCGCTAAATTTTGCATAGCTGTAGATAATTGACCAGCAGATTGTTTGGTATGCATCTCTATGATAGTTCCTAGGCGGCTTAACACCTGGATTAACACATTTCACTGACCTGGGGTCAGGGCCAAAGGTCAGATTCAGGCATAAACAACCTGTTTCATTACTCGGCGCTTATTAAATGCAAAAAATCAAAACAGTTCTTTAGCATTTTTGTCACTATGCCCTTGGAAAGTTCATGCAAGGTTACTGACCTTACGTGAGCACCAGTGACCTTTTCCTTAGAACAAGTGGTGGTTGCATGAGAAGGTCTGGATCACTTTGGACATATGCCTGGAATATAATCTTGTGTGACGTTATTTAACCCTAAGATCGTGATCTAGGAACCTCAAGCTGTGACAAAAATACATTCAAGTACAGACCAACACACCCTGTAAATTTAGTGTCTCTAGGTCCTATTTTCTGAGACCTCTGGGAAGGGGGGGGGATCAGATTG